GTTGTACACTCTTCATGTAATTACAAACTGTAGGGGAACCCTATGTGGAACCTCATATATCAAACTAATAAAAATTCACTCGGCCATGTAAGCCACCTTAAAAATAAAAAAAAAAAAATGAATATAACTTTTCATAAAAAAATATTATCTAAACCAAAAGCATATATCAATAGATAAGTTTAGATTCATTTTTATTAGCTAATCTAAATTGATTACATCATATATAATAGTTTTTTATAAACTATCTTTTTCTTTTTTAAGTTACAGTTAAATGTGTTATCAGGTTAGGTAGTGTTGTTTTTTGGTATTATCAATATCGTCACTATAGCCTCTCCAGTAATTAGTTTTCATTGTTAGTAAAGATTTTCTTATTAGTTATTTTTTTTCATTTAGTAATAGTTTTCTTTGTTGTTTCACTAGTGATTTTGTTGTTGCTAGTTGTTGCTTCTTTTCTTTTTATATTGTATCAGCTCATGTCAAATTACTTTTTTTCTTCTTTTTAGTTAAGAACAGTCAAAGATACTGTAGTCTTTAGTTGTGATGTTAGTAGAGCCACCACTTGTTGTCACCATTTTGAGTTGTATATTTGCGAACACTGTAAACTGATACTTAAGATACTTTATTACGCAAGTGAGAATTATAATTAAGTTATTTAGAATTATATAGAGTTAGGGTAATTAAAGTTAAGACAAATAGAGATTAGTTATTTTGAAATATTCATTATGCAATGAAATTTTAAAGAATTCTTTATGCAACATTTCAAGAATATATTATGTAGTTCTTAGTTAAATTATTTTTAAATAAATAAAATAATATTTATTTATTTTATTTATTAAAATTATCCTGGATGGCGACTAGAATTGATTTTTTTTTTTTTTTTTACAAACTTTGAGCGAAGATCAATACTAAATCAATAGAATTTTTTGGTGTAAATTCTAGAATTAAAATAAAAATTTTATCGATTTTTTATGGCTGTCTTAATTTATGTTCATAAAAAATCTTAAAGCAAAAATTTTTAAAACTTTAAATTTATAAAGCTTAGTTGGAGGGTTATTGGGGTAGATGGGTAAAACTCGAATATAAGTATATGATTACGTAATTTCGTAGAGAATTCTGTATGATTGCGCCATTTTACGAACATGAATGTCCTAGAAGTTGTATAATGATCGTGAAGGGACTTTACTATCGAGGATAAGCTTTTAAGATCGTGAACCAAGTTTACAATGATAATATAATCATTATGGCTAGACTTATATAGAAACGAAAGTAACAATAAGGAACTTTTGACTATAACAATATCATAAAAATTAAGGTTAAATTTTTATTCCAGCGCTATAAGTTTGGAGACTATTCCACAATACATAGCCACGACATCTAGTACAAAATATACCATGGACTACAATGACAGTCGTTTATTGGATTTTTGTCTAGTTGTTTGTTTTTGAATTATTGTATATTTGATAACAAATTTGAGTATGATTATAAAATTTTTATTTTTGATATTTTCTATATTTCCAACTTTAATTATAGTAAACATAAATTCTTCAAAAATTATGTGATAAAGATTTATCAGATTTTTAAGTTCATAACTGCTCGTTTTCTTAACATCAAAACTATTGAAGGCCATGTTTCACGTTCTGGATACAAGACGGCTTTGAAGTAAGCATATGTAACTTAAAAATAGTAGTTGATAGCTACGGTAAATCTACTTGACTATCCGTGAGAAAATGTTCAATCGTTTTCTGAAATATCGAAGACCTATTTTCTTAATGTTATAATAGGTGGTGCAAAAATTTTGATACGAAATTTTAATATTTATCATGTAGATTTCTGTTGCTGCGTTAAGTTCTCAACGACTAGCAAAGTTAATATTGGGTTATCCAAGTGTACATTGGCCGGACTTGGTGCACGGAATAGTTTATGCCTTGAAGCTGACTTGTGTTTATATGGGCATGATCTTGATGATTCAACAACTCCCGTAGAAGCCGGACAATCGGTATCTTCGATGTTTATAATGAGTATATTTTTTATGTATTTGATAAAACCCTTACATGTGTATTATTGATAGGAAAACGTCGAATTCTCTCAACTTGAAGATGGTGTTGCACGTCGTCGTGTTGGTCTTATTACTGAGGGTGCACCTGCAAGAGGTACTATTAAATTTTTAATTGTTTAAAAAATACATTTTTATTAATTAGGCCACTCCAATTTAATTCGGTGGTTTACATTACATCTCCACTTTAAAAGAGGGGGGGGGGTTTACATAGTAAAATTTTCAAAAATTTTTTTTCCGAAATGTTTCGTTCAATATAAAATTTTTCCGAAATGACCCGTAATCATTATGTTATTTACAAAAATTTTGTTTTTACTATGAGGGAGGGGGGGAAGAGGAGGAGGAAGGGGGGTAATGTAAACCACCGAATTAAATTGGAGTGGCCTTACACAGAAAATGCCGAAATTTATAATTCTTCTGATGAAATAATTGGTAAGTTTATTTTTCTATAATTATTATATTTTCTTAGATTGATATTTTTTATAAAGCAAAATAACAAGTGGTGGTCCGTCACCATCGTTAAATAAAAATACTGCAATGTGATATGTAAAATCTGAATTTAATAAGTGGAACTTTACTTAAAATTAAAGTTAGAAATAAATTACAAGATGCTAAAATTGTAAAAATACCTTTTGTTCCTGCTAAATATCATAAATAAGATAGTTATTTTGATTTTTTATCAACACTTTCAAAGATCAAAATGGATAGATAGAAGTATACTCAATTAATAGAATTTATGAAAAGCTTTATAAGAAAAAAAATAAAAATAATATTTTGAAGGAAAGTTATATTCGTAACACCATGTTATATAACACTATACTATTAAATATATAATATACTAAAAACCTATACCCTTACTCTAATCTAGTTTACATAATTATATATAAGATGTTATATAACATAGCGATAGGTGTTATGATTATAATATTTCTAAAAAAAATCGAGTAAAATAGTAATTTTTCACGTGTAAGTATCGTGTTGGCAATTTGACAATTTTTACTTAGTCATCTGCATCATACTGTACAAACACATGCATTTAATGTTTAGATGGGCAAGCCAGAGACAACGAATTTCGATTGGTTCCATGTTCAAATAATTAATATTATAAAAAACTACCTAGTGCTATCGCTCTCAAAAATTTTAAAGAAAAAATGGTTCTACCGCTACCACCAGCACGTGCACCACAAACACTTCAAGAAGCACAAGTTTTGTATGAAAAAATCAGAATAGTAGCATTATGGTATTGAACAGGAATACTTTTATGAACTGAAATATATTTTAAATACTTGGAATAATGCAATTTTTAATTTTATACGCAGGCTGGATTCGATCCCGTTGCTTCCTATCCCAATTGGTTTAGATGCTATAATAGGGTTTGTTCCGGTAGTAGGTTAGAAAATACCAATTTTTGGATTTATTATAATAGTCCGTGGTAGTTAACTTTAAGGTTCCGTTTTTGACAAATGGGGGTGTCAATAGAAACCAAGCAAATTGTTTTTTTTTCAAACTTTAAATTAAAATATCTCAACAACTATTAAACCAAACTTGATAAAAAAAATTTATCATGTTTGGTTTAATAGTTGTTAAGATATTTTAATAAAAAATTTGCTTGGTTTCTATTGACCATTGTAACTCAACCTCTTGAAAGTCATTTTACCGACAGGTCATTTCACTGACATATTAGCCCGATTTAGGGTTAGAATTAGGTTAGTGCTGGCCAATTTTTTATTTTCTGTGAAATGGCTGTCGGTTAAATGAGACATAACCTCTATTGACACCCCCCAAATATTAATAAAATATCAAAAATGTAACTTTGTCCGCCGCTATTGCATATCGCGTAACATAAAATATCACGTGATTTAAATTCCCAAAATATTTTGCTTTTGGGACTTGTATATATTTTTTTCATAGGCGATATTCTAGGACTTTTGTTAGGATTGTACCAGGTCTATCTGACAAGTTTCTATGCCGACCTTCCCCTGGTTCTCATAACTAAAATGTTACTTCACGTTTTTATTGATATGATAATTGGAATTATTCCTTATATAGGTAATTATTAATCATTAATATTCCTGTATTCACTAAAAACATCTTTACCGAAATATACATTTTGTGTTTCAAGGTGATATACTAGATGTTTTATATAAGGCAAATCTAAACAATTTGCACCTACTTGAATCCTGGTTGAAGGACATTTATGGGCAAAATATTCGAATATACGAATCAAAATAACGTTTTTTAACGAATGTTTGAAATTACATAATCAAATTGCGATATTTAGTTTAATAAATTTTTCGCTGATTATTAAGTCATCTTTTTGCTCTATAGTTGCCAGAAGTTGTCATTTTTCATTGCATCTACCACGCTTTTATAACCTCCTTTATGTAATGCACGTTTCTTGAACTGTGTAATTGCATTGAAATATCGATATTGTTCATTAATTTTCTTTGGCTTCGGTAGCTTTTTAGATGTTAAAAGTTTATCCGCAAGATAATGCAGCCACTAATAATATACATGATGAGTTTAAAAGTTAAATGAAGAAGTAAAAGCAAAGTAAAATATTGCACGAATAAACTTACAAATACATTTGTCTTTGGACAAAATGACTTCCAA